CTCAGCATAAAGGCCTCAGGTTCAATCCCCATATGACACCCACCTCAAAAAACCTAAAACCAAAACCACCCTTTCACCTCGTACCAGCTGTGTGCACCCGAGGCCAGAATCCCAACTCACAGCCACACTGGACGTGTGTGCTGCCCTGCCGCCTTGCCTCATGTCTCAAGACGACCCTCCCTAGACCTTCCCTAGAGACAGCAGTTCCTCCCTGAAGGACACTGACCAGGTGCACACCCGGGTTCCAGACACTGGGGAGCACAGGCCAAAACAAAGAGCAGAAAGCACCGCCCCATCATCACCGCTGGATGATCTCTGTGTGCAGAGCAGAGGGTACCAGTGAAACACGCCCCAAGTGGACTCTGCATTGTTTTCCTGCCATCTATCACAAGTTCCCTCTCAGCTCCCGTTCTGCTCAGGGGCAGACCTGAACCTCAGGAAATTCAGGATCCCCATAGAGTCCCTCTCCTTAGGGCTCCAAGACAGCACGGGAAGGGGTGGTGGATCACTGGGCCCTCTGCACTGTGTTCTCCATGTTTTTCAGGAACCTTCCTGTCCACAGGCTCTGTACCTCACCCACACCACCGACAGGTCCCCTCTGCCTCCAAAGTCCCCAATGCACTTGGGCTCGATTGTTCCTCATCTGACCTCACCTAGAGACATGGGATTCCTCCTCCCCATGCCAACTTCCCTCGAGGATCGCCTTTCTGCCAGCTGTCTCTGTTCTGGTTCAGCCCATGGCTTCTTCTCCACGCCCTGAATCCCCTTAGGAGGCACGCTCTGGAAACTCCACAGCTTGAGCTTTTGCACCTGAAGGTTTTTCTTCCCTTCAAGCCTCCAAGCCCACCAGCAACTCCAGCTGTTGCTTTCAACTCGTAGCTTTCTCTCTGTACTTTCGCTCGTCATTCATTCACCAAGAGAACAAACGCACTCAGAAATGAGGGGGAAACTTGGGCTCATCCCCAAGTACGATTCTCAGCTCCCCTGATACTTTTGGGTCCACTTTAGTGGCCTGTTCACATCTTCTCATATCTCAACCCAACAAGGACTCCTGGCTCACTCCTGAAGGGGTCAAGTACAGGGATAGCAAATAGATCTCCTCTCACTGGCCACATTCAGTTGGTTGGTAGTGGCTACAAAAAGCAGTGCTGAAAAGAGTAGTCACATCCACCATGAGCACGGCACAGGCCTCACCCTGCATGCCCAATAGTGCCACTGCCGGCTTCCTGTTACCTGCCCGTGTGGGGATTCATCTAGAATCTCTTCTTTCCAGATCAAAGAATACATATTCTTAGAAATCTGATGGAAAGCCTATGAAGAGAGAGCTTCACGTATAAAGGATGTCACCCCAGGACCAGCGCTCCAACAGGCACCCTCAGGAACTGGCAATAGGGTGGGAGCAGGTTACAGAAGCTCGAACATGGGGTCCTTCCTTTCTCTCCAGCTCCTATGCCACCCTCAGGAAAGGACGGGAAAGCTGCCAGGCTTGTACCCTTTGGAGTAAGCACTGAAACCTTGACTGCACTACTCATTTATTCCGCTGGGGGCGCTCCACCACTGGGTACACTACCACCCCTGACCCCCTGCCCCACCTCCAGCCTCTACCCTACTGTTGGTCTGAGGCACGAGAGTTATAACTTTTTCTTTTTCTTTATCTGCCTATACACACACACATACACACACACACACACACACACACACACACACACACACACACAGCCCCTGAGTACTGAGATGGAGCCCAGAAAACACTGAGCTCTTTTATTTTGAGACAGGGTCTTGTTAAATCCCTAAATTGGGGCTGGGGATTTAGCTCAGCGGCAAAAAGCACCTGCCTGGCAAGCGCAAGGTCGTGAGTTCGGTTCCCGGTACTGGAGAAAAACCAAAAAAAAAAATAATAATAATAATAAATCCCTAAATTGCCCAGACTGGGCTCAAACTGGAGATCCTCCTGCTTTAGCCTCCCAGAATACTGGGATTACAGGCCTGTGTCACCCCTCCCGCTGTCATAACTTCCTTTTTTTTTTTTTTGGTCTTTTTGAGACAGGGTCTCCTTATGCAGTTCAGGCTGGCCTTGAGCTCACTTTGTAGCCCAGGAAGGTCTTGAACTCTCAGTGATCCTCCTGCCTCAGCCTCCCGAGTACTGGGATTACAGGTGTAAACCACCATGCCTGGCTGTCACAATTTTCTTGATGGCTTGCACTTGTATGTGACATCGGCCTTCACTTGTAGGGAACCAAAGTCAGAATGCCTCATAACAAGGCTGTCAGGGGACCTGACTTAAGAAGGCCTGGTAAGAACCCTAAAAGGAGACATAGTGTGTTCCTGCTTAGCCAAGCAGAACTTCCGGAGCAAGGGTGGCTCCAGGCCACTGTGAGAAAGGTCAGCTGCTCTGGGGACGCTGCAGCAGCTCTGTCCCTCTGGGCATTCCTCCAGGGCCTGGAATAATTCCTCCAAGGAAAAGCCAGTCCCTCCCATGGAAACAAACCAAACCAGAAATACAAAAAAACAAAACAAGCACAGCACCTAACAGCAGTTACCAGGGAAGACACTTTTAACAGAGGCTGATTCCTTTTTTGTGTGTGCAGAACTAGGGATTGAACCCAGAGGGGTCATACCACTGAGACACCCACACACTCCTCCAGCCCTTTTTATTTTGAGGCAGGGTCTTGCTAAATCGCTAAATTGCTCAAGCTGGGCTCAATCTTGCCATCCTCCTGCCTCAGCCTCCCAAGTAGCTGGGATTACACACAAGTGCCACATCATCCAGGCAGGCAACATAAGGATGGTGTATGGCTGTGCACCCTGGCCTGGGGTGGGAAAAAGCAGAGAAATAGTGGAAGCCCCTCAACTGGGTCCCTCCGTTCAGTAAAACTGGCCTCGGTAGCACACATCTGTAATCTCAGCACTCAGGAGGCTAAGGGGGAGGGATCACAAGTTTGAGACCAGCCTGGAGGACATAGCAAAAGCCTGTCTCGAAAAAAATCAGACCTGTGGCTGGGGATATAGCTCAGTGGCACAAGAGCCTGCCTGGCAAGCACAAGGTTCTGAGTACCAAAAAAAAAAAGTCAGGCATGACAGTACTTTCCTGTAATCCCAGCACTTGGGAGACTGAGGCAGGAGGACTGCAAATTCAAAACCAGCCTGATAACAGCAAAACACTGTCTCAAAAAACAAACAAACCAAAGGCCCCTACTCATCCAAAGTTTGGAGTCCCTAAATCTGTGCCCTGTCCTCCTTTTCCCACGGAAACTTGTCTCTGTCTCCCTTTCAGGTCTGTCTGTGCTACCCGGGCTGCACTCTGGTCTTCAGCACCTCCCATCCTAGAGCTAACGGCCCTCTCCTCTGCCACCTGCCTGCCTTTTCCTCTTCATTGCTATCTCACCTTTCTGTCCCACGACTGCGCCTTGCTCTTGCTACTCCCCCCCTTTTCCTCAACCCTCCACACCCACGCTGACAGCAGGTACCTGACTCATCTGGAGGAACCCCGCACCGACCCCCTGGTCCTCTCGTCCAGCTCTCCCATCCAGCAAGAGCCGGGCGGGCAACCCTGCCAGGAGGCTGAGCCATGCAGTGTCACCTCCCGCACGCCCTCCTGACGCTCCCCGCACCAGGCAGGAGCAGTTTTGGGCTCTGCAGCCTCTGCCAACTTCTCCTCTCCTGGCTCTGCCAGTTTCCCTGACAGAGGACGCAGGGCCTAAGGCGGCTTCGATCAACTGATCAATCACCTTGCAACCAGTTGTGCTCCCTGCACAGAATGAGACAGAAATGTGTGCCGAGTTTGCCAGCCACAGCAGGAGGACGTAGGACCTTGGGTGCAGACTGCAGAGCCCCGCGAGAAGTCATGGAGAACGTCTCCCAGGCAGAAAGCAGGCCGCGCAGGGAGGCTGGGGCAGTGAGGGCCACACCCAACCCCCAGCCCTGCTGTTGGGAGCAGGGAGTTGTAGGCCAGCCTGAGGGGAACAGAGACTGCCAGGGTAGTGAGGGAGAAAGCTAGGAAGCTACAGGGCAGCTACTTTGAGGAGAGGTATGACAGGACAAGACTTGGAGATTTATCTCATCCATAATACAGACACAGAAAAAGTCATTGAGCAGGGAAGGAACATCATCAAAATGATGCTCAGGATAAGAAACTGTCAAGCCAGGCACGGTGGCCAACGCCCGTAATCCCAGCATTCCGGGAGGCTGAGGCAGGAAGATATGAGTTGGAACACACCCTGGGCAACTTAGCAACTTAGCAAGATCCTGCCTCAAAGTAAAATATAAATTGTAAAAAAGGGCTGGGGAAGCCCTAAATTGTAAAAAAAGGGCTGGGAAAGCCCAGTGCAAAGTCCCTGGGTTCAGTCCCAAGGTCCTGGGTTCAATCCCCAGTACAGCCAAAAAAGAAAAAGTCAAACAGGACCCTTCTTGTCACAGTACAGCTGGCACTTGGGCCCACGGCTGCCAACAATAGCAGCTAAAGAGCTTACTCGTATTGTAAACACAGGAAAAAAGTAAAAAGTGGGTCAGACGCTGCGTGTCCCAGCAGTGTTCGCTGAGGTTCCCCTGTGAAGGTCACCACCTCCAGCTGCATGGGCCTCTCTCCTGGGTGGGCCTGGCAAGCCGGGAAAGAAGGGCTCAGGGGCGGGCCTGGCTTAACCCCCTCTGGGCAGCCGGGAGCACCCTGCCTTCTGCCCCATCTGGTCCCCCAGCGCTGTGGCCCAGCACTTCCGGAGGTCAGTGTCACTATCACGGGAGCCAGAAAGGAGCTGCAAGTGTGCCACCCGGGAGCCTAAGGTTCTGAGAGAAAGACAGCCAGACACTCAGTCCCCGCCAGGGCAGCGGGGCGCTGAGCTCCTTCTGAGCCAGGAAGAAGGGGATCCGGAGGAACAGCGGGTGGGGACAGAGCTCCTGGGGCAACCGCACCACCACTATTTGACACAACACTGCGTGGGCCTCCCACGGTTCACAGGGACACCTCAAACAGTAGCTGCGCCTCAAGACAAAAAAGACCGCCTCACCTATGAACGCACTGATGTGAAGTTCCAGAAGAGGCAGCTCCTAGGTTGCCCGGGCTGGAGGGAGGGAGGGTGAGAGGGTGGAGAGCGGCTGCTTAATGATGCAGTTTGCTTCGGAGGCGATGAGAACGCTTTGAAACTGGACAGTACCTGCAAAACATGGCCAATGGAAGCATGCCACTGGATCAGACACTTTCAAATGACTGAATTGGCAGATTTCGCTTTACATGGTTTTTTGTTTTTTCGTGGTTTTTGTTTTTGTTTTGGTCTTTTTGAGACAAGGTGTTGCTATGCTGTTCAGACTGGCCTTGAGCTCACTTTGTAGCCCAGGATGGTCTCAAACTCGCAAAGATCCTCCTGCCTCAGCCTCCCGAGTGCTGGAATTACAGGAGTGCACCACCACACCTGGCGCGTTACATGTATTTTATCACAATCATTTAAAAAAAACATAGCCAGGTATCAGCCGTCTTGTCAGTGGTCACCCATGGGCCACCTACAAGGAGTGGAGACCCTGCAGCCAGGCATGGAGGGGACTTCCAGCAATGTGAGTGGTGCGACAGGGGCCTTCACGCAGGAATCAGAGCTCCCCTGCCCCAGAGCGAGGCCAGGCTGAACCCCTGAAGACATCACTCACATCCACTCCGCCGCAATCGCACTGTTCTCAAATGTTTCCAGAACGCCCCTTCAGGTCATATGGTGAGACTGTGCTTCTTGGTTCCCTTCCGGGAAGGTGGAACCATGTGACTTGTTCTGGCCAATAGAATGCAAGTCTAAGTCAGAGTCCACCCCCACCCCCACCCCAGCCTTTCAGCTGTAGTCTGTCAAGCGAGCCCCCAGCCCCTGAGTGATGGGTGAGCAGCGCTTCTGCCGATCAGCAGCGCGTGTGCACCAGGAAAGAGAAGTAACCTGTGTTGCTCTGAAGAGTTGCGGGTGGTTTATTCCCCCAGCATCATCTAGCCCATTCTGGAAGAATCAGCCCTCGGGCTGCCGCCCCCAGGCAGCTTTGGTGGGGCCTCAGTGGCAGCCACTGAAATGCAAGACAAAAGTCCAGCAGCTAGCAACAAACTGAGCCTGTCCTTCCCCTCTGCGTCCGGCTCCCCCAGTGCGCAAGAGTTGCCCGGTGGAGGAGCAGCTGGTAAAAGCACAGCGCGTTGTCCCCCATAGGCCCCTTTGCTTTTTCAGGTTTGTTTTGCTGTGGATACTTCGGGAGTATTTGTTTGTACATCTGATGGCCTGGTTGGTTTTGTTTTGTTCTTCAGCACTAGGGATTGAACCCAGGCCCTTCACACTGAGGTACACCCCTGGCCCTTTTTTATTTTAAGACAGAGTCGCCCTAAATCATTAAGTTACCCAGACTGAGCTCCAACTTTCGATCCTCTTGCCTCAGCCTTCCAAGGTGCTGGGATTACAGGCACCACCGCACTCAGCTTATTTGATTTTTTTGAGCTAGGGTCTCACTGTGCAGTCCAAGCTGGCCTTGAACTCATGACCCTCCCGCCTCAGCAGTCCCTCTGCTTGAGCATAGGAGGGAGGGTGAGCATTAAATCCAATGAGAGATAAATGTTGAATCTCTCGAGACGAAGTTGTAAAGAACTGAAATGACGGCCCCAGAACCAGTCAGAACTCACAGAGCAAAGTAACTGCAGTCAGAGGAGAAGCCCCAGAGTCCCCACGGAGAAACACAGCAGTGTCTGCCCATCTGGATGAGTAATGAACACTCCAGCCTCTCCTGCTCCCCTGCGCGTTCAGCCAGTGCTTCCTAACCGGCTAAGGCCACCCTTTTGATGCACAGGTGACCGCTGACTCCCAGGGCTCAGTACATGGGGGAAAAGGATGGACAGGTCAGCGAGAGGAGCTGTGGAGACACCCAGAGCCCACCTCTGCCCAGCTGAGACGGCTTCCCATGTTGGCTCCTAATGTCTTAGCGAGGTTTGTGTGTGTTGTTTTCTGTATGTGATCTCTCCAAATGAGGCAGATGGAACGGAAAGGAGAGGTGAGATTGTTACAGTGCTTGCTATGGTTTAGAGCCAGACTCTCCTCCAGAGTCTCAGGTGCTCAGGAGTGGGGCTTGTAGAAGCGATCAGACCACGGAGGCGCTGTACCTGCGGATGGATTAATCCATGGCTGAAGAGGTCATAGCTGACCATACTGCTAGGAGGTGGTTAGCAGAAGGGGTCCCTGGGGCCGTGGCCTGGCTTCTCCAGTCTCTCTGCTTCCCGCCACCATGACAGGAACAGCTGCTCTCTGCCAGACCCTTCCGCTTCGCTCTTCCTGCCTCGCACCAGCCAACCGTGGAGTGAAGACGTGAACCCAAACACACCTCTGCTCCTCTAAACTGTGGGTGTCGGTGCTGCGTCCTGGTGATGGGAAGGAACGAGGACGCGGCCTGTGAGAGAATGGAAGGGCGGAGCCGCGTGTGGGAGACGAAGGAGCTGAGAGTTGGAGGCGCTAACTCAGGCAGAACGGCCAAGGGGAGAGAGTGCGGCTGGGAGTTTCCTCGGGTACCGTTCTGGATGCCCCGATGTCGCTCCAGGGAACCACCCGCAAACACTGGAGGAGGGAGAACACAGTGGCAGCAGTTGGCGTCCAGACCGGAGACAGACGGACACGCCCAGCCAAGGGACGGCACCGAGAGGAATTTAATGGAGCGGCGCTCCTGGTGCAGGCAGCACCCAGCGCCAGCAGGAGCTAATGGGACACCCAGAGACTCAGGACGGCAGGAAGCGGATTCCGCGTCTGTGCCTGAAGGGACAGGAGCGGCAGTGGCAGTTCTGGAGCCATCGAGCACAGCATCCCCGCAGTAGAGGCCAGAGGGAGGAACACCCCATCTCTCTGCCCTCTGACTTGCCTGTCTTCTGCTGTGCTTCCCACGGGACAAATCCCTGTGGCAGGGGATCCTAGTGGGGGATAAAAAGGGTAAAGAAGCAGGTGTGGTGATGTGCACCTTTCATCCTAGTACTCTGGGAGGCTGAGGCAGGATGATCACAAGTTTGAGTCCAGCCTAAGCAAAGTAGCAACTTGGTGAGACCCTCTCTATAAATGAACAAAAAAATAAAGGGGTAAGGATACAACTCAGTTCAAAGGCCTTGGGTTCAATCCCTAGTAACACAACAGGGGGAGGGGAGGGGAGCAGAGAATGGATGGGGAGTAAGGGTGGGCAAGCAGACAAACCAGCCACCTTGAAGGAAGTAAAAGCAAGTAGATAGTCAGGATATGGAAGCCAAGGTAGTAGAAAAAACTATTTTCTGTGTAAAGAAGACAGGTAAGGTACCAATAACAGTATCAAGCAAAGGTAATTTCTAGACAAAAGAGACCTCTAGGCTGAGACCCAGATGCAGTGGCACATACTTGTAGTCCTAACTACTCAGGAGGCTGAGGCAGGAGGATCGTTTGAGCCTAAAAGTTCAAGGCTAGCTTGGAAAACGTAGTAAGATCTCATCTTTAAAAAAAAAGCTAACACTGATGTCATGGGGCCTCCTGAATGGTTAGTGCTGGCCAAAATCATTTTGCAAAGTTTCTTTCATAGCTGTGCATTTCACACGACCCAAAAGACCCCAAAGATCAAGTAAAACGGATAACTAACTGGTCACCACACGATACTGCAAGCGGCTTTTGGCTCCACCTATAGTTTTGTTAGGGAAGAGTCAGAGGTCTTTTAAGAACCTAAAACTCTGGTGCAGTAGCTGCTGCATCACATCCTCGGCTCCCGGGGGTTTCCCGGCTCTCATTCACACAGTTCCCTTCTAGAGCAACGACGCCAGGGGCTCCAGTGGCCATCGGCGCCTTCCATCTAGATGAAGGGCGCTTTTCCTCGCCTCTCCTGGGCATTTTGGAGAAAGGAGCATCTGACTTTCCAACAGTGCCCAGCGGTGGGTACCCAGTGTGCTGTGTTCATGTGGAAGGGTTAGCTGCCCTCCGCAGAGTCTCTCATCAACTCGGTTAAACAGGAGGGAGCCTCTACCTTGTGGCTGGAACGATATGCAGGCCGCACCTGAAGAGACCATCGCGCGGTAGTGGGTAGTTAGCTGAGCGAGGCCGGCAGACTGCAGCTTTCAGCAAGGACCGAGAAGCCTCAGGGGAGGAGGTAGTAGCAAATGGCCCCGGAGGGTTAGAAGAACTTCGCCAGGGCAGTGAGGAGTATGACGTGAAGGATTCCACCCGCTCGAAGGTCCATCACTGAAATCAGAACCACAGGGCACAGCTGTGCAGGTTGTGCACTGCGCGGAGCCCCACCCCCTACTGCCCGACTGCTCAGTCGGCGGAAGCATCAGATGACTCCAGCTCCTCCTAACCATTGAACGCCCGTGCATCCCAGCGCAGGGCTGTCTGCCTGCAGACAGGGACGTTTTCTTCACACAAAGATGCTATTCAATTGCTACCCTGTGCTGTATCCAGTTGCTACACCATGTTCCCTGAGGACCGCACTCTCCAGAGGTGGAGGGAAAGGTCTGTTTCTAGTCTAACCAAGATGCTACACACGCTTACAGCGGCCCTGGCCAGATTCTAGCTGCTGACACCATGTTATTTCTTCTGGTTTTATGTGAAAAGGCCTTGCTACACTCAGAGTATAGGCAGGAGACACTCAGAAAAGATAATAATAGTAAGAATAACAATAGTAACAATACTCATTTTTGTTTAGCCCTTCACATTTTTGTTTTGTTTTGCGGAGACAGCATCTTGTTGTGTAGCTCGGGCTGGTCTTGAACTCACTATGTAGGCCAGGTCAGCTTTGACCTTAGGCAATCCTCCTGCCTCAGCTTCCCAAGTGGTGGCTAGGCTTCACATTACAGAGCTCTTTCCTATATGGAGTCCCATTTAAACCTCAGAGCAACACAAGGGTCAAATCAGACATAGGTTTTCTCTCCCATTACACTCTTGTGGAGCAGGGACTGAAATATCAGCCAGGCTAAAATTCTCTGCTTTTTGCACAATAGGAGAGGGGGAAAAAAGCCCTGCACATTTAGAAAAGCTTGTATGTACTGAGTTGGACGCCCAGGCCCTGCTCGCCCGTCTCCTGGGTAACAGAACAGCTATTTTCCTCCGGGAACCCGCTGCTAGTCCCAGTCTACACTCGTCAGCCTGAGTTAGAGACAGCAGCTGCTCAGGCCTGGTCAGGATGCCACCGTGCTGGCCAGGTCAGAATGAGCCTGGGGCCCCAGGGGGGGGGACAGGGGATGTGTGCGGCAGCAGAGACGAGAGGGCGCCCACTGTCTGGAGCTACGCTGCGGGCAGGTCCCGGTGACCTTGTGTGAACCTCTGGACTGAGTCACATGCCCGAGTACTCTTCATTTACTTGACTCTACATTCCTCTTCCACCCCGGTGCTGGGTGTGGAATCCAGGACTTCGCACACACCGAGCATGTATTCCACCGCTGAATGACACCCCCAGCCTGAGTCTATATATTTCTTCATATTTATTAACTTACTTATTTAAGAGTAGGAAAATTTATTGGGAAAAGGAATGTGGAATAGGAATAGGGAGACAGGAAGGGTCTCAAATGGTTTTCCAACAAGCCCACCTCTCAAAGGAAGTTTGTTTTTTGGAGGAGGGTTTTGTTTGTTTGTTTTTCATCTTTTTGAGACAGGGTCTGGCTATGCAGTTCAGGCCAGCCTCAAGCTCACTTTGTAGCCCAGGATGGTCTTGAACTCGCAACGATCCTCCTACCTCAGCCTCCCGAGTGCTAGGATTACAGGCATGCGCCACCACACTCAGCTCAAAGGAAGTTTGATAGAGCAAAATCATGAGGTAGGGATAACGTGGGTCAAAATTATGATCAACCAATAAGATTCCAAGTACAGATGCTTAGGTGATATTGATCCAGTAGTAGCCAGGGGATGTGGGTAACATCATTAAGCTTGGTCGAGAATCTGTAGTCTTGTCTTTAGTCAGTCTTAGTGGGTGATTTCTTTTTACAATTTAGGGAGCTTGAGTTGCATCATCTGTCCCTTGCGACTGAAATATCTTGTCTGTCTCAGGTAATTGTTCTTTCTGTCTCATCAGCCATGTGCAGCCCTGGGGACTCAAAGTCCAGTCACCAAAGACAGAGCCCCAGAGATTAGTCAGCGCCATTCTGCGGCTAATCACCAACACTCTGGCCTAGGATGTTAGAAAAGGTCACTCTGCCCAGATGTCCAGGCGAGCAGCCCAGCCTGCGGGGCCCTGCGAGGCCTTCAGGCAGTGGAGGGAGAGGGACGTTTTACTTAGGAGAGGCAGACTGCTCCAACACCTGCATCACACAGAGGTCTCCTGGAAGAACTGGAGATTACACGCAAGCCAGAGCGTTAAGGTTTGTGTCTGGATGTCCCCCCAAAGCCTCATGCAGTCATGGGGCGAGCTTCTAGAGTTTATGATTGATCCATGGTCCAATGCTGGATTATGGGTGTAAGTGCTAGACCTGCCCTGGATCAGGTAGCTTGCATACAATGTAAGGGACAGAAAGAGGCTGCTTGCCGCCACTCCTCCCTTTTGCTCTGGTTGCTTTTGCAGTTTTCCACCACCATGAACAGTTGCCCTCTGCCATGTGCCACCCTGCCTTGGAGCCAGCCAAGTATGGACTTAAACCTCCACAGACTGTGAGCTAAATAAACCTTTCCTTCATTCATTTTGGGCGTCAGGTATTTTGTCTCAGCAACAACAGAATAGTAACCCAGACACACAGGAAGAGCTTTCTCCCCAGGGATGAGACGTGAGTCTTCCCCTCAATCTGACGGGGCCCGCCGAGGTCATGGACTCACCACAGGGTCACCTTCCTTGCCAAGAGAACGCCATGTACTGGCACAGACCAACCAGGACACAGGACCTGCCCTGGGGCTGGAGGCGAGGGCTGCTTCTTCAAGCCACAGTAAGGAGGGACAGAGCCCAGTGAGATCCTGTGGAGAAGAAAGAAGCCTGAGTAGATGTTGGCTGAGACTGCAGTGTCATAGAGCCACCACTTGAGGACCTGGGCCTCAGTTACCTGTCTACAACCTAAAGAGAACAGCCCTGAGAATATCAATATCCCTTCCTACTGCAGTATGCTGTGAGACTACTGACTTCCGGCACAAATCTGGACAAGCAAGCACATCGTGTGACATATGAGCGGGGGAACGGCTCAAGTTCATTCATTCCAAACTGGCTCTGTTTGGGAGGAGAAGGCCTTGATAGGAAAAAGATGTGTCCTACTTTAAGAAAACCCAAAAAATCAGATCCGCCCAACACACAAACCTGGCTGGGACCACACAAACTGCATTAGCTTTGTGAAAGGATTTGACATAGATCTCGTTTCTGTTTTCTGTTTATTTCCAGAGACTGATGCTACCGTGATCTAAGTCTGAAGAAATTGATTTTTCCCCTTCTTTTGGCTCTTTATTTGAGGAATTCCCTTCTCCACACGTCAGAGGGCCTTACGAGCTGTTTTATACAGTGAGGAAGAGCAGGGACTGAGGATTCTTTTGAAGCAAGGGTGAGAAAACAAACAGCACTGTGCAGTGGTGTCCGCATAAATCCGTGTAGCATCCTGGGTGTTGTAACAGCATCCCTTAGCACTTCTGGACTTTATGAGGGTATTTGTGTCCAAATGATGGCTTTTTGCCTTTTCCTCTGATTTTCTTCTTCTTTGGCATACCCTAAAGTCCTAAAAATGAGGAAGCAGCATTGCAAGTGTAGGCACAGGTTCCGCAGCCTACATTTCATCCCCACATCTTGCAGTTTCTGAGAGCCTCTTTTATTTTTTATGATTTATTTATTTTGAGACAGAGTCTGGCTATGTAGTTCAGGCTGGCCTCGAACTCGTGGCAACCCACTGCCTCAGCCTCTTAAGTGCTGGGATTACAGGACAAGGAGCCTCATTTATTTTATTTTGTGTTATTTTACTTTATTTTTTGAAGACATGGTCTCAACTATATAATTCAGGCTGGCCTTGAACTCACTGTGTAGCCCAGGCTCTGGCCTCAAACTTACAGCGATCCTCCTGTCTCAGCCTCCCAAGTGCTACAATTACAGGCATGCACCACCACGCCTGGCAAGGAGCCAAGCAGCCTTCCTCCAAATGACTCAGAACCGCCTTCTGTCTCAATGTTTTCCAGATGTCCAGGCTCCTTTCAGGTGCCCTCTTACCTCTCAGTTTAAACACTCTACCTTGTGCTAAGGGCGGTGTGTATGTATGTGTGTGTGTGTGTGTTGGTGTTCTACCTTGTTTCTGTGGTGCTAGGAATGAACCCAGAGCCTTGCCAATTCTAGGTGCACAAGTGCTCTACCACAGGGCTACACCCTCAGCCATTTTTATGTCGAGGCAAGGTCTCGCTAAATTGTCCAGGCTGGCCTTGAACTCACAGTCTTCCTGCCTCAGTTACCCCAGGAGCTTGGATGACAGACGTGTGCCACCTCAGCTCCTTGTGCTGTCTTTGACGGAACTCATCCCATGTAAGCAGGGCCACTGCATGTCGGGACCTCAGTTGTGACGCTGCCTCCCTATTCTGGGTCCAGACCCAATGGACTCCAACCCTGGCCCACCAGCTGAGTCTGGAGGCTTCCCCAGACTCAAAAATACATAACAGAGCAGATAAAAGATAAACCTTCAAGCTTAGCTTGTCTTTTGTTTGAGAGAGAGAGAGAGGGTCTCACTATGTACTCCAGGCTGGCCCTGAACTCACTACGTAGCCTAGGATGGCCTTGGACTCACAGCAATCCTCCTGTCTCAGCTTCCCGAGTGTGAGTACTGAGTTTACAGGAGCGTGCCACCACGCCCAGCTCAAGCTTAGCTTGAATGGCCGCCTTCCCTGCCTAGCATTTGAACTCCTTGAAGTGTGAAGCTTTGGAAAGTCCAAAAGAATAAACTAGGCAGGTCTCCAGTTCCTATTCCTCTCTAGCCAAGTAATCAAGAGGGCAATAATACTACGAGAATACAAATAAGATACAGAAAGGGAGATACCTCCTTAAAGAAAGAAAACAATGTTAAATAAATCTCACCTCCATATAGCTTTTGAATTCATAACATGATGGTCCACGAGTCTAATTTTCAAATGTACTTCTTGGCACTCAGTGTTCTTAAACTTGAGAGATTGCCCAAACACACGTCTTCATGTGTGTCTTCTAACACCGCCCCCCAAAATGAAGTGTTCTAGAAACCAGCCAGAGCTGGGTGGGCGTCACCTGTCGAGACAGATCACCAGCCGCACCGTCCCCACTGCTCCTCACCCTGTGTCCTGCCTGTGGCCACCAGCACTTACCTGCTGCGAATCCTGCTTTACAAAGCTCCCCCCGCCGTGGCCACAGCTACAGAGTCTTATGCAGGTTCAGTCCCACCCAGCAGGCAAGACGGACAGTAGCTTTTTGTTTGGTTGGTTTTCTGAGACAGGGTCTTGCTCTGTAGCCTAGGCTGGCCTTGAGCTCACAGCTGGTAAAAATGTAGATTTTATCTCTCCGCAGTGACAGACAATCCAAAATACAAGCAAGAACCCAGCGTGGTGGCACACGCCTGTAACCCCAGCACTTGAGAGGCTGAGGAAGGATCATAAACTTTTGGGGCCAGCCTGGGGTACATAGTGAGACCCTGTCTCAAACCACCCCACCCCCCAAAATGCTGGGAATGTAGCTCAGTGCAAAGGCTCTGGGTTTAATCTCCAGCACCACAAAAAAAAAATAGGCAATTCTAGGCAGGGATGACCAATTTAAATAAAGGACAAAGGCTGGATTTATCTTTTCTTACCCCTTGACCTGGTCTAATCGTACAACTACAGCGCTTTTTAAATTCTTGGAAGATTTTAAAGGATGGGCCCCAGACTGCATACTTCAGAATGTCTGGAGGTGAGCTCCAGGTGTCAAGGGTTTTTTAAACTCCCAGGTAACTCCAACTTGTCCTCAACTGAAAATGCTGCCCTTGAGTGGGCTCTAAACCCAGTGGCTGCCAAGGCCCAGGAGCGGAAGGGAGGAAACCAACTCTTCACCCCTCGACTAGAGTCAAATAAAAGCCCTCCAGGTCTGGAAGCCCGCAGATTCCCGGGCCTGAGGCGGGTGTTGCAACTTCTCCCAAGAGATCCAGAGCCTCATTTACAGGAATGGGCTGCAGTGGGAAGTCTTACTCCTCACGGGTTCAAATTAAAGCCTTCTCTCTTACAATGCGGCCCCTTACCCACACATCTCCCACCCGCATCCGTGGTAACCAGAGCCTTTCATAAGGCCCCGTACCATAAAGTCACCGACATTATTTTATTATGATTTTACTACACAAGGTCTTAACTAAAGGGGGGACCAGAGAGGACACCTCAAACGTTCTCAGCATTCTCCAGGCAGAAGCAGTTACACAGAGAGACACGTTCCGCTGGAGAACTCCGGCCGGACCGAGCCCAGCCTGTGCCTGCAGCTCCAGGCAGGCCACTGTGAGGCAGTGATTAGTTCAAGGAATAACTTGTTCCTTAAAAACATTCCCCAAGCTCTGACTTCTGGGACTGACAATATTCCAAAAATTCATTGCTAAATTTTGGGAGGAAAAAATATTTCTACCACTAGCTTAGAAATATTTGGTTGTTCTTTGAAACAAGGGTGGAGATGACTATTGTACTGGGATCCAAGATTCCTACCTGTAGATTAGGAGTATTTTCTTAGTTCATGCCTTGAACTAGATGCAGAGACGAGTCCTATATTGGTGTGGAAGATAGTTTATGTAGTTATTATGAGTAAGGCAGCCAACTAGTGGAAGGGCCAGAGATACAGTGGAGTGACCAGCATACTGATAAAAATTAAGAATAGACAGTGAGCTGGGCATTATTCAGGAGGCTGAGGCAGGAAGATTGCTATGAGTTTGAGGCCAGCCTGGACTACATAGTGAGACCCTGTCTCAAAAAAAAAAAAAAAAGAAAGTGTACTAGGACATCAGACAAACAATGAATTCCTTAGGCAGCATGAAATGCAGCCCCTCCCTACTAAGATCCCGGATGAAGAAATTACAATGCAAATGAACCAGTTCCTTCAGAGATTCCAGTTAGGGTAAACACTGTGTGAACGACCCGAGCTGGACGAGAGAGCCTGAGTCGCTGGTCCTTTTAAGTCTACAGAGTGACCTGTGCAACGCTGTCTCTAAACAACTGAGCAGTTCTGGCCAGGCACGCTGGCGTGTGCTTTTAATCTCAGGACTCAGGAGGCTAAGGCAGGAGAATCACCACCGAGTTCAAGGCCAGCCGCAGCTACATAGTGAGTTCAAGGCCAGGCTGAACTACATAGTGAGACCCTGTCTCAAAAAAAAAAAAAAAAAAACAAACAAAAAAAAACAGGTAAGCAATTTCTGTACCCACTTGTTTTCTAAATTGAGAGGCCATTTGGCCACCCCATTGTGGACCCCTCCTGGAAATCTGGGAGCTATTCTCCTTCTCTTTATATCCAGTAAAACTTTCCTAACCTCTTTCATCGGTTCGAGACTTCATTCTTGTGGAACCACAGGCCTGAAACTCACAGTAACACTGGAAACCAAGCATTTGTTCTCTGTTTGGTTTTATCTTGAAATAATTTCAAGGCTGTAAATCATTACTAACCACCTAAAGTATTTATTAAGCAGCTACTGGTTTGTTTTGGTCTTTAGTTTATTTTTAAGGTTTTTTGAGAGAGGATTTCCCTCCAATTCAGGCTGGCCTTGAATGCACTATGTAGCCCAGGCTGGCCTCAAACTCAGAATGATCCTCTTGCCTCAGCCTCCCAAGTGTAGGGATTACAGGCAGTGCCACCACCCCCGGCTGGTCTTTAGTTTCTCACTGGTATCGATGGCAATTGACGGGTAGGCTCATGCATTTATAAGAATTTATCAGAGAACACACACTCAGTGGCCCCTACCACACCCAGGAATTACTGCATTAAAATGAAGCTCACAGGCGGTTTTCCTCTCCCCTAGCAAGCACTTGGAGCGTACAAGTCCTCTGCAGGCATTAGAGCACGTTCCTTCAGTCCTGCTCAGCGAGACGCTGCTGTCTCCTCTCCAGCAGGGACGGTGAGGAGGTACCGTGTCAGGCTTCTCATTCAACTCTGCCCAGGGTGAACAGATCCCCCGAACTAGGTGCCTGCAGATGTATAAGAAAAGTAAGAAAAAATCAAACCATGAGAGCCAAAATTCTGTGATCAGGTGCTAGCAGCCTCTGGGACTGACTGACTCCTGATTACCATCTTCAGTAACTTTTATTCAAAAATATACCCAGGAGGCAGCAGAGGAATGGAGGATATCAACTGTTTCAGCAAGGACAGTACAACTCAATTATCATAGGAATGCGACCTGACCAGTAAGCCATCATGTTATCTTCCCTCACCCATATCTCAGCAAAGCATCTAGTATTGATCCCGGGGCTTACAATGCTTATGCTAGGCTTCCTCCAGAACCCAACTATCATGGCTTGGTCAGGTCTCAGGCAGTGCACAAAATAGTAAGTAAAGAATGTCCTTCTCCAGAGTACTGTGGGCCACAAGGCCAACGTGTGCCAGCAGGGAAGCTCCAGGCTCTACGCTGGACACTTGGAGGACACCAGCACCAGGCCAGGCAGCGTGGACAGGATTCAAAGCAGGAGCAAAGGAGTGCTCACCTGTAGCCAGAGCCATGAAAACCAGTTGACTCACTTGAATCCTGGCCCTCAAGCCAGTCTGAGCTGGAATAGCAATCAGTCTGGGCCAACTCAGGCTAGGAAACCACTTCCGGCCGGATTCAGGGAATGCGCTCTCCTCAACTGTTATTCATGTGCAATGATGCATGGTGCACGGAGGATGAAGAATGCGCCTTATCATTCAAACTCTTCGAGTTGTGGGTTACAGAAGCTGGTCAACAGAAATTGACCTAAACCAAGAGAGAACTGATTGGCTTCAACATATAGTATTGGCTGGATCTAAATGCTGAAAAGAGGTCACACACACCAGGCATGGTGGCACAGGCTTGTAATCTCGGCACTTGGATTTTGGGGAGTTTTTTTGCTTTGTTTTTTTTTTTTTTTACCTTTTTCAGACAGAGTCTCACTGTGCAGTTCAGGTTGGCCTTGAACGCATTATGTAGCCCAAACTGACCTCAAACTTGCAGCAATCCTCCTGTCTCAGCCTTCCGAGTACTGGGGTTACAGGAATGCACCACTACACCTAGCATCTGCCTCCACTTCTTGAAAGCATGTGAGATATTTGATTATTTCCAAGAAACTTGTAAACTAAAGGATGCTCCACAGAGAGAAGTTGTCAGAGTACCAAACCTTGCTAGGAGACAAAAAGCGTCTGAGGGTATGGCTGAGGTGGGACAAGGAAGATAACACCTCACTCCTCCAATGCTTTTTTTGTTTGTTTTGTTTTTTGAGACAGGTCTCCCTATGTAGTTCAGACTGGCCTCAGACTCATAGCAATCTTCCTGCTTCAGCCTCTTAGTACAGGGACTACAGGCCTGCACAACCACGCCTGCCTAGCCCAACTCTTTAAAATAGTTTCCAAGTAGTATTAATTAAGCACCTGCATTCCGCAAACCAACTGAGTTTGAACTCACTATTTACTGGCTACATATACAGGCAAGATTTCTCTCCTAGACTTGACATGTCTCATCTGTAAAATGAAACTAATAATACCTTTCTCAGAGCTTTACTACAAACACTGTGTTAACAATGTGTGTAATATGCCTGACTCACTAAATGTCCACTTCAAGTTGAGATCCCTTATCCAAAAATGGTTGGGACCAGATCTGTTCAGATTTTAGACTGTTTCAAATTTTGGAATATTTTATAGACCTTATGGACTGAACATCCTTAATCTGAAATTCCAAATGAACCAACTTCTGAAACTTTTTGCTATTCATTTGATGACAGCTGCCCCGTCTATAGCATTGTCATTGTTATTATTTGAATCTGGGAACCTCACATGCAATGCTGCTGATAGGAGTCATCTAGACTTCCTCCCAAAGCTAAAAATGCCTACTTGGAAAGAGGCCTTTGAAGCTGGGGTTAAGCTCTCTCTTCTGCAGGGATCCTCAGAAAGATTCTGACTAATCACTCCTGGAAGATTCCAACCACTAGAGGGAGGGCGGCCTTCCAGAAAATAGTCCCTTAACCCAGTGTCTTTCCAACTGCAGCTTTGAAGCACAGTTGTGGCTGTGGTAACAGCTTAGTGGAACTCAACTAGCCTTTCCTTTAAAAAAAAAAAAAAGGATAGGATAGGGTAGGGTAGGGTAGGGTAAGGTAAGGTAGGGTAGGGTAGGGTAGGGTAGGGTAGGGAAGGATAGGATAGGATAGGATAGGATAGGATAGGATAGGATAGGATAGGATAGGATAGGATAGGAAAGGAAATATCAGCATTACCCACAGAAGATACAGACTGATTGTGTTTCATGAAGCCTTGGTTTAGTTACATAATTACATCTGCAGCTACTGAGTCTCAGTATAAAGCATATTTCTCACTGTGGTTCGTGGTCATACATCAAAAGAGTTTGAGAAACACTGCCTTAAACAATCAGGGAAAAAACAGATAAATAAATAATCAAATAAAATATGAATATCTAAGCATAGGATTTTAAGGCCCAAGCCAGGAAGGACACCTAATTCTGTCCCAAGTGTCAATCTCAGTTGATGCATACTACCTATTTTAGAGACCTGTGTTAGGGGGATTCTGAGACTTCATACAAACTCAGTAGAAAATATTAGCAAAAGGCACAAGAGGAAGAAATAGATATTCCTGATATGTACTCAAAATTTTTTGAATATATTTCATTAACATCTATTAATTTTACAAAATACTGAATTTTATTGTGGTGTTTTCATATATATATATTTTTTCTTCTTTGTCTTTTGAGAGAGGGTTTCACCATGCAGTTCAGGCTGGACTTGAACTCACTTTGTAGCCCAGGCTAGGCTCGAACTCACAACGGTCTTCCTGCCTCAGCCTCCCAAGTGCTAGTGTTATAGCCGTGTGCCACTACATCCAGCCCCTGTATATATTTTGACTATATCCATGCCCCTAGATCATGCTAGTGTTATAGCCGTGTG